TTTGCCCCCATGTGATCCCCCCCCCCCCCTCACCCCCCTCACACCCTCAGAATGATCTCAGCTGCTGAAGCAGTCATGACTGATGCAGTGTGACAACCGAGCCAATGGACATCCAGCGGTGCCGTGTTCTGATTACACGCCTGCCTTCCTGTCACTCTGCGCCGTGGATGGAGTCGTTTATGCATCTGATCGTGAGGCTGCGTTCGTGACTCGTTTGGACAGAGCCGGGACTGGAGCAGAGCAGCCGGACTCTGGGCTCACGGAGACACTGAGAGCTGGAGGGAATGTTTCAGATTTTACCTCCCGTTTATCAACATCAGTGCCATGAATTCATGCGGTGCTTCCAAAGCTAGGGGGCGCGGAGCTGTGGCAGGCACAGATAGTTTAAAGTTTCACTCTGAAAATTCGTTTTTTTTCTTCAGGGAACTGGTTTAGTCGTGCAGCCATATTTGCTGAGACAATTGAAACATTATTTATTAAATGTCTCCTACCTGTAGTTGTTGGCATTGCATGGTTTTGTAACAAGAAGCCTTTCTCTGCACGCACCCTTGGGATTCACGAGTTGCCACTAGGGGGTGTGTGTGTGGTAAAAATGTGATAGTGGTTTGGAGTGGGCGAGGAGACTGAGATGATGGGACATGATTTGTTATCGCTACCTCTAAGGGAAACAGCTAAGAGATGAAGAAATCACCTCAGAGTTGGAGAGAGAATTCAACAGTCAAACGTGGCAGAGATGAAACGTAAGAAATGGGAAAAAACGTGTGATTGACAGCTCGACTGTTTATTCAGTCAGTGTCTGGCGATGGTGCAACACTAGTGAGGCTCTGCGTGTCAATCATAAGCAGTCCACATTCTCACCTCTCATATGTTGTTATGCATCATGTTTTTTAAGTTTGATGTATTTTAAAAAAAGAAAACAAAAAAACTGTACAGACCCATTTTCTACAGCAACACACCTTTTGGTCGCTGTTTTCTTTTCTTTTTTTTAAACCTCTCGGTGAAAACACGTCTTCCAGCAGAGAGCAGAAATAAAAAACAAGTTTGAGCCACAACAAATGGTTCACTTCATAAAAACCGTGCTCCGTTAGCGCTAACAGTTTTGAAGGAACTCGCAGGAAATGTTTGGAGCCAAAACTGATTTTTTTTTTCCCCTACTCAGATGTACGACGGTGCAGTTCTACCTCACAGCCAGCCGTCATCCGACCACAGTCTTGGTGCCACAGGGTCAGGGCAGCATGGCTCACTTATTTGGGTTGACTTTCCAACTTTTGACAACAGTGCAACTCACTGTTCTCCGGGGCCACTTTCACTTTGACAACCAATACTTTGTTGCCCATTCACCGAACACAAGCTGACAACTGGAAATTCCTGCCGATATTGTCCAAAGACTTAATTTGCGATTCCGATATGAACCGATGCTGATATAGGCATGAACCGATGCTGATACAGGCCTGGTAATATTTATTTATCAGTTCAAACCACTGTATCAGGGGATTCTGCATACAACCCCCCCCCCATTATCATAATAGATTAATTAAATAAGCTGCAATGCTGCCATCTAGTGACTGTTACTGTCACATAAAGCCGTTTTTCCCCCAAAACAATTTTTTAGGTCACCCATAATTTGGCAAAACCCAGGCATTGTGTTATCGGGTTTTCATTATCGGAGGAAAATTCGCTAACGATTCTTGCAAATATTACATAATTATGCTAATACCGGGCCGATATTATGGGACATTTCTACTACAATGCTCTACTTTAAAAAAGTGGAAACGCTTATTTTAGCCTTAGATAAAATATATGTACTGCAGCAGTGGAAATATTTCTCTCCAAATCACTTAAAATAATTCAGTTTTATTCAGAGAAACACAGCTTTCGCTGGAGGAAAGACGGGTAATGGGGAGATCTGCTGTGGAGCGGATCAATGGAAGCAAATGTCCAAAGTAAAGACCCTGAGGCAGGAGTCTTCCTTCCACATGAGCGCCTGCCTCTAAATGTCATCTTAACGTTAGGTCTTTCAGCGTTCCTTAAAGGTTAGACGATTGGCTTCTCAGCACGACGCCCTGGCGCACAGATTACACAGATCTCAGTGACCCACGTGAGCAGCATGGTGATGCACAGATGAGTAGCCGTCAGCGCCGTCGTATCACTAATTAGCTAAAA